GCAGTCCCACGAACTTGGCGAGTATCTGATTGCAAGGCCGTCAGTCACTGATCGGAAGGCAAATGCCGTGCAATGACCGGCGCGTCGATGTCGTCGGTAGAGTGCGATGTGTACGAACGATGCGGTCGTCCTAAGACACGTCCATGGCGCCCTCTTGTTTCATCCGAGGCAACAGCAATGACTGCCTGGTCCGGTGCTGCTTCATTCTGGCACACGACATGTGGGTGCCTCAGCATCTTCGACGTTGGCTTCAGACGATTTCCTCGTGACAGATACGTGATCAATTGCATCGCTGCACCGCACTCGTATCGTACCATCGCTCTCCCTCTCCTGTTCATTGTATGACTACTGCGAGAGAAAGTAGGAGAGAGCGAAAGCCAAAGACAGAGAGAGAAGAACAGAGAGAGAGAGGGCAAGCGCGACCGCACAGCGAGTGTCACTGGGACGTCGCAATCCCAACTCAGTCTACACCGGCCGCGCGTCTTCTGGTCGTTCACGTTCCATCCTGTGATGACGTCGTGACGCGTCCAAACAGCGCCTGCAGACCCCACTGAAGTGGGATGGCAACATGACGGACCTTCTTGATGCTGTGCCCACCCGCTCGTCTCCGCGTGAACGCCCGAACTCGCTCCGCTCTCGCCAACTGTCGCACCGGATCAGTCGGTCGGTCGGTCGGTCGATCGATCGGTGACAGACCCGACGCCATCCGCTGTGCATTGGCAGTGGCTCGACGTGTGTGCGACGGACTGCACGACGTGCACATTGTACCACCCGTCGCTGCGAGTCGGAAGCAGCGAAGTCGGTTGCCCTCGATACCGCAGATCGACGAAAAGGGGGAGGGGAAAGACAAAGACGGACGCACTGCTGTTGATGCACTCATCAAATGAACATGCGGTCGCATCAACGAACGACGTCGTTGCGTTACTGGCAAACTATGAAAGAAAAGAGTGCATCTTGTCGACGTGGCAAACGATATCACGCTCTCTGGAACGGCAGCTGTTTTCGATTATAAGTGGCTCATCACCCACGACATTTGGCAACAGCAGTTATTGGGAATCTCTTTCGCAGGAGACTTGATCATTGTCAACGATTGTCGATCACGGACTGCTCCACATTGTCGAGTCCTTTCGTGGTGGTGATACACTGTCTTGGCGATGCGGTTACCACGCGGAAAAGGCAGAAAATGCCGACCCCACGCTTCAGTTTCCCAACGATGGGATGGAAGGATGACTCGTCGAAACGACAGCTCGACATGCTCGTAGAAACGAGACGGCACTGCATTGTCGTCGTGGCGTCGGGGTCGCACGCATTCATCGAGTCAGCCTGAACACAAGTGAGTATCCTAAGATGTATTCATGGTAGCAGATAGGTTGAGAAATGTCCGGCTGGTACAAAGGAACTATGTGTTTCTCGCGTCGAGCTGTTGCAGTCGACGTTTGTCTTGCGCCACGAGCTCATTGTCAAATTTGCTCTCCGTCCGAAAGCCCGCCACCAGTACGACTATGCGACACCGCGTTGCGCTTGCGCTGCTCGTGGCCACCTGCGTCGCACGCTGCGGTAGCTCCACCTCTATGGACGACCATGTCAACAAGAAGACCGAGGCCGCGGACGAGGACGACGAAATCGAGGAGTCGAGAATATTCGGTATCAATACCGCAAAAGGTGTCTGGTCTAGAGCGTTTGGAGGCACGAAAATTGCTGGTGCCACGGACGACGCGGCTGCAAAAACAGTGAAAGCTGTTGGTACGGGGAAAGCTGTTACAAACCGAGTAAAAGTGGAGAAAAAGCACGTAGCGTGGGCTGCGACTGTGATAGCAGGAATCCTCGGGGCGCTTACCTTGTTTGCCTATTCAAAGGCGCAAGAATCCGAAAAAATGACGCCTTTGGAATCCCTGTCGGCCTCGGAAATGGGAAGTACGACGGGCTCAGCCATGGGCGGCTCGTCGGGCTCAGCCATGGACTATCGGGCTTTATCGGGCTTGTCTATGGACGAATTGGCGGCCTTGGGTTATGACGATGCGTGAGAGTTGACATGCAGGTTGGGCTTTGCCTGAGTGTAGCCATGTATCAGCCGTTTTGTTCAAGTCACTGGAAAAGCTTTTGCCGCTTTGTTTGTTGCGCCTTTCGACTCCTTTGCTTTGTGCACAAGCGCAGACCCCATGACCAGCACCGACCGAACGGACACACAGACCCCTTCGTCTCGTGCGTAGTGGTGTCCAATGCGTCTGTGGTACTTCCTTCCCTCAAGTCTCGCGCTGCTCCCGTCTCGATGTGCTCCGTCTCCGGCGTCTCTGGTCGATGCTGCAGTCTCCGAGCTAACAACAGAGCGACCGCATACCTCCAGCAGCCAACAGATTGCCGACCAGCAGCGCGGCAGCGACCACATCGACGAGAAGCCCTGGCAGCCATTTGTTCGATCACTGCTGATGTGCTACAGAAGGAGACGACCGACCGATCGATTGTCTGTTGCGCTGCGGTACGAGATGAAAGCACAGAGACGAATCTGTTCGGAAACGCCAACTGTATAGCTGACAGCGGCACATGTCGTGCCATTCTTCTCCTCTCTCTCCCTCTTTCTTTCTCTCCATCTGCTCCTGTATAGAGAGAGCAGAGAAGAATGCAGGGAGTACGTGGGACATTGATCCGGCTGCGGTTGGTGTCTTGAGTCCATCCAAAAAGGGCGTCGATGTCTTACGCACTGCCTGCATTCTTTTTGGGGCAGCTTGACGACTGGCTGATGATGCTGTTGTTGCAGTGTCATCGGACTTTGACTTTGCTCAAGTTGGGGACGTGTCGTGGCGACTAGACCATGTGCTGCGTTCGAGTGGGGCCGGAAGTGATCATGAATCTCTGTATGTTGTGCAGCTGCATGTGCAGTCGCCTTGTCCTCTTCATGGCTTGGGAACTCCAGACGGCCGTGTTGACGTGTTGAGTGGAAATGTCGCGAGTGCTCATGTATCGCATCCACAAGCGACTGACTGCTCATGAGGTGGAGAAGTTGATGACGGGAACGGTGTCAAAGGTCCGACTCACGAGAACAGGAGCGCGTAGACATAGGCACTTATGTGGAGAAGCGAATAGTAGCTCCATCGAGCGAGTCTTGGTCAGGAAGGCTGTGTTGTCGGGGCTGGCCAAATTGCTGCAGCAGTCGTGTCGGTCTAAGTCGAGAGGTGTGGCACTGCAAACAGGCTGATATCAGTTGACAATGCTTTTCGACAATGTCGTGGCTGCCGTTTGCAGTAAGACGTCCGTCCCTCGATTCACAACAGCTCTTTCTTAGCGGTGGACGGTCAGTGAGCAAGTCGTGTGTACCTTCCTTGACCATGACGAATCACGCTTCTTGACAACGACAGTGGTGACACCATGGTCACCTGTGCCGATGACAGAGATTCGGTCAACCATTGTGTACAGGCGGCCAGCACAGCGGGCACTCAACGAAGTTTCCCGTCATCTGCGCAGCGACTCGATTGTCGCCTTCAAGCTCGATTCACCACTTGTGCTCCAAAAGCAGTTCCGCTGGCCTGTCATGCTCAATACGGCACATCCTCTGCTCCCTGCCATACGTTGTCCAGGCGCACCAGGCGCACGTTTGATATGAAGCTGTAGATTTACTCTTATAAACTGCACGGGTCTGGTCACTACCCCATCGATCCGATCGATGACGTCTCGGCTTGGACGATCGTTCCATGCGCGAAGGACACGTTGCATGCCAGAGCGGATCGGCTTTCGCTGTGAGCACACTTATACGTGGCCAACTGCCATGCGCGTCACACATCACTTGCAACACACTGCACTCGACATACGAAGCGTTTGTCCTCTTTAACGCCAAGTCCTGCTTTCAGCTGGCTTGTCTTCGTGGTTGGACAAGCACCACGTCAGGTCGTGCTAACATTGTCCGGGCAACAGGCTCGACCAACTCAGCATGCACGTTTCGTTCCGTGTGCACTATGAAGCCAGCACTCGCCATCCCGTCAGCAGAGAAGTCGTTGTCATGGTCACGTCCACCACCACCTTCGCACGAGATGATTCGAGATCGAGCAGAACTGGATCGGATGTTTTCGCGCCCCGGGTGCTGACGTCTGCTTCGGCGTGCTCTCGACTGCGATCAGGGAAGGCTGCGTCATGATTACTGCCACCAGCGTGCGGGTCACCGACAGCCACATGACGACAGATGGAGCGATACGGCAAGATACTGCAGACGCCTGTGCACCTGACTGCCTGTGGCATCAAAGTTGCCAGTGAGTTCGGTGCGACGGCGGTAGCGGTTTGCGCACCAAAGAAGAGAGTGCTCATGGCTTTGTGGCTGCTCTGTCAATTGAGACTTCCAAGCTGAAGCACCACTGTGCTGTTGAGCCAAACGAAGTGGACGTGATGCTATGTCATGAACGGCTTCTTGCAGAGCGCATGGCATAGCATCTTGCTGTCGATAGATACCACGGAGTCGCTTGACCCGTACACGAAGAAGCCAACGCGATGAACCCGTAGATGCTGCTTCTGTAGCTTGTCGATGCACGTCCCCGTGGACAATGGACCACTTGTTGCGTGAAAGCGCCACCAAATCCCGCGATGGTACTCCATTGAGGAACCGGCGGAAGACGTCAATCGGATCCGCCATCCGTGAGGCAATGAACAGTATGCTCTGGTCTCGCGATGAGTCCGATCTGGTGCTGAACTGTGGATGCGTCACGACGTCGGATGAACTGCCCGCGAGAGACTGAGAAGCGACTGTAAGTGCTGTAAACACGAGAGCGGGTTGTTATGCATACCAATGGGCTTGCAGTCCCACGAACTTGGCGAGTATCTGATTGCAAGGCCGTCAGTCACTGATCGGAAGGCAAATGCCGTGCAATGACCGGCGCGTCGATGTCGTCGGTAGAGTGTAATGTGCACGACCGCATCATTCGTCCTGAGACACGTCCATGGCGCCCTCTTGTTTCATCCGAAGCAACAGCAATGACTACCTGGTCCAGTGCTGCTTCATTCTGCCACTTCTGGACGAATCAGTACGTCAACTCTGTTTCAAAATCGCCACAAGTATTTTTTTCTCCACATTTAGCACCCAATAGACCGTTTCCTTTGCTTTCTTCGTCGAAGTGGACTAGTTCATCCTGCACCGGCGAGTGTGCACATTGTTCATCAATGCGCGAATACTTCACTTTACGTCGTCCCTTTCGAACCTTTGGAGCTGCTTCTGCGCTCGCGGGCTTCATATGTCGTCGACGATGACGACAGAAATATAGGATGGCCACCACAAGTAGCGTGGTGCCTACCATAATTGCCAGTGAAACTATGCTGGACGATGACATGGATGGCAGTGAAGCCCATGATGTCCATCGCTTGGCCGCCAAATCTGCTGGCACACCATCCGCGGATTCAATGTTGGAAGCAGGTGTGTGAGCTGCAGTCTCTGGTTGTACAACATGAAGTGCAGAGTCTTTGACACGATGCTTAAACGTTTTGATGACGGAAATGGCACGGCCGATATTCCGAGTGCGAACCGGCTCCAGCATAGCAACATCTTCTGTGCCGAAACATGCTGGAGAGACGTGCTGGGAATTGTTGGCTTTGTCCGCATTTGCTGAAACACCAAACACCTCGCAAATTCCACAGCGAGGCAGCGGTAGCGCGATCCATGTTCGAAAACTTGGATGATGGGCGTTCGTATGAAAATGAGTCGCTAACAACCCACACGAAGGACGATTATAACAAATAAGTAGTTTAGTAGAACACTCGACCTCGCACTTACGTTAGACTGCTTCACGACGTACCGACGCGAAAGAGATGACAGCTAAACGCGTCCCTTACAACCAAATACAGTGACTGGGTCTGTAGTACAGACTGGCGACCATCTCGTCCAGAATAAGGTATTATGAGTGTATGGCTTACTTCGGCCGAATTCCCTGAGCCCCTAGGTACTGCATTGAGCTCCAAAGGAACAGTATCGCTGGCATTTGATCCGTTGACAAACATAGACCCTACCAACTCCGCTGCAGCAGAGCGCAAACCACTATTCCAGAGCGTCACATCGACGGAAACAAAGGATACTGTCGACCCTTTACCATCAATGGGGCTCATTAATTTAACGTGGTTCACCACCAATCCATACACGGGGCCCGCCATGCGCGATATATACAGGTTTGAATAATGAAGCTCGGCGGATAGCTTAGGAACTTCGTCGCGGTGTGGCCAAAATCCAACCACGGACTCCACGTCAAATGCCGGGCCAACCTCAGGTGACATAGCAAAGATACCGTGAGCCTGCCACATCCAATCGCTTGTCTCGCCGTTTACCGTGTACAAATTGCTTTCCTTCCATGCCTGGCCATGCTGAAATCCGTTGAACCGGGCCATTTCCTGAGCCAAAGCTACGAAGACCGAATTGCTTGATCCGCTTGGTTCTCCCTCAACCCGGCAAGCAAATGGAATGTTAAAGAACTTGCCGTGCGAGTGGTAGTTGAGCGCTACACTGAAGTTGGAGGTAACGCGCCTCACGAGATCGCGCACAGCCTGTGTCTCTGGTTCCGAGAAAGCGTTAGGCCCGTTGTAGTCATCTCCACAAGGTTCGTTGCTACTGCCCTTATTATCCTGTGCAAAGCAGATGTCGTAATTGCGGTTCAAATCCACTCCTGCATCCGCAGAACTATTATCACAAGTCAGCGCTGCGCTTTTGCGTTGCCCGATTTTGTCATGTTCCCACACGCGCAAGATCTCGTTACGTGCATATCCATCCGGATTAACAACTAAAATGAACCAGAGCTGACGGGAAGCAAGTAGCTCTAAAGCTGCCAAGTCTCCGTTACGATAATCGGAGGTCAATATGTCGATCGTGTAGACCAAATTCTTAACAAAAGGATCAGCGAAAAACGAGCGTGAGATCGCACAGAATTGGATGAGTCCACACACAAGACTTACCATCATGGAGATGGGCTAGACAAACGAAAAAAACACGAAAAATACGAGAAACAGGATTGACTTGAGCTTGTGATACGAAAATAAGTGTATGCTCACACCCCCACTTCTGCAGGAGTACCTCGCGGGCGTGGTGCATGCCTGTGAAAAGCGCTTGTGGGACCTTTTTCTCTTGAGGGGCATAGCATGCACCGAGGCAGAGTGCACGAAGTGGCCGTTTCTCGACTGATTGCCCGAGCTGTTCAACTTTTGTTATCAAGGGGAACGTTGCAGCTACGTCGTCAATAAAGGCTTCCACTTCGTCCACCGACAGCGAACCCCGTATGGATCCAAGACGGGGAGAAAACGCTAAACATTGATTGCCAATGGGTTAGAAACGACATCATGTACCTGACAAAGAAGCTATCCACGTACGTTTTTGCACGCGACAATTACTCGCATTCGAGTGGCTAGGAGCACATAAAGGATCCGAAGAGTTTCCCTTGCTCAGCGCTATCCGTTCGACAGCCACCGCTGCACCAGACCTTGTGACGCTCAAGTCCACAACAAATCTAGGGTCCTCGACACTCGCATCTTTCTCACTGCCATCTACCTCTCGAATGATCTCCTCCAGTAGCAGCACGTCGTTCACGTACCAGCGCATCCACTTGTCGTCCCATACAAAGTCCACGCCGAGGAACGCGTCCGCTACATTCTGGAACACGACACGAGCGATAGTGCACACAAGACGACGACACAACAGAGGCAAAGCGTCTATCGTCAAGCGAGCAACTCCTTTATCTCCCTTGTCACGATGCAACGCACTGAAATACATGGCAACTCCGCGACTATCGACGTGTTGAGCTGCGACGAGCCCACTTGCACTTCGTTCAATGCTGCAGGGAAAGGGGCTGAGCCCAGGGCCATCGTCAGTCGATTTCGTGCTGGGAGCTGCACTCGAACTGTCGCTTGTCCAGTCTGATACACAATCGTAGTTACGTGTAAAATTAGTGCCACGTCGATCTCTGCAGTTGCTTTGGTATGCCGTCAGTCGGTCGTGCGAGAGAAAAGACGCCGTCAAGTGCCTACCTGTGGAAATCGCACCTGCAACGAGAGACGGTACAACGTATCCGTTTCGGTACAGTTTGCAAGTGAGAATTGGAAACTCGAGCCATGGCCACTAGCTGGTGACACCACCATGGCGCCGTGTGTGAACGAGATGGCCGACACGTCGACATCGGACCACACTACGCGCTGCTGCTGCTGCTGCTCGTGCAGAGACGATCGGTTCGAGATCGTACGCGCGTCGAGTTCCCACAGGCGCGTGAGCGCGCACACGGGCGCGCGGTGGATCTCGAGATCCATTGTGACCTGTGCTCACGCGCACACGCGATTGGTGGAAACTCGACCGACGCGTAGCGTGGTCAACACGCACACATCAAACACCTCTCGTGCTGAACTTTACGGCGTGCGGATTCGTCGATGTCGTCGAAATTAATTTCATCCAATCGCACGTCGCCTATCGCGCAACACAGTGTCCTTATTCCATCGCAACCGCACCGTCGTGGAGATGGAGGCCCCGCGAGCGTTGGAAGCGACTGAACAGGCGCTACGGACGCGCGTGCAGGCCGTGTCCATGCGGCGACGGCCTACAGATGACGACAAGATGTCTGTGAAGTCTGCGCCGGGTTCCAAGTGGATTCGTGGTCGTCCGAAACAGTCGCGAAGTCGTGAACCGCTGGATGACGACCGCTGCGGTGTACCAACGCTGGAGAGTTGTGCGTCTCCCGGTCGAGTGACGTCTGGCTCGATTGTGTCGAATGACAGCAGCACGAGCAAAGCGAGTGGGTGGAAACACAACAAGAAGCAGAAGCAGAAGAGCCACGACCAGCGCCTGGGGAATTACTGCACTACTGTCAGCAGTAGCAACAACAGTTTCACTAGTCGAAGCAATGACATTTACTTTGCTCCGCACTCGCCCGTGCCATCGATCGTCTATTCGGTACAATCACAGACGGGAAGCAGCATCTCGCACGTCTCTGAGAGAAGAGGAGCAGTCTTGACGGACGTGGCGGGCCCGAGCTTTGCTCTGCCATTGTTCCAAAAGGAATCAATATCGAAGGCGTCCACAGGTACGAGATCGTATCGTCGAGGGCGGGATTTGGAGCGAGGACACGAGTTTAATGAGAACGAAGACGAGGAAGTGGATGATGACGATGACGACCAGCGAGCGCTCGACGACACCACAGGAGATAGCATACAGTTTTTTCTGCATGGACCGCCTCATGTTTCCATCGAAGAAGCGCAAAAGTACACGTTTGCAATTGTTCTGAAACACACGGAGCAGATTTTTCAATTGCTGAAGCGGCGCTTTCCATCGCGCTCGGCGGCTTCGATACGACGGGATTTGCCGCACCACGTCAGTATGCTGCAGCAAAAGTGTGTGCGACGACTGATCCAAGCTGGACTGGGCGTGATTCTGCTGGATGATGGGCTGTACGATAGCTATTTGGACGCCCAGCGGGTAAATCGCAACGACCAGGACCCTAAGGGCGGAGAGAAGAAGGATGTGGCCAGAAACTTGTGTATTTTGGTTGACCCCAAGAAAAATCCGGACTTGCTGCTGCATGAGTTTAAACGTGAGCTGGACGAGTTGTCCATCAAGCGTGGTGACGCACTCGGGCGGCTGGCGGAAGAGTCTCTTGACTCGCTGAAGGGGATGTGTTTCTCGCCGGCGTTGGAGCTGCAACTCACGCACAATATCATAATGAACGCTTTTAAGGATTACGACAAGGAAGAATGGGTTATTGACGTCAACAAGGAGCTCACCGTGACCGACGTCATTGTCGAGTGCTTCCCTCTGCACGATCGTGCGTTCAACAGAAAGTTTTTCGACGAGTATCGCAAGCGGACGTTTGAGTTGAATTTGCGTAAAGCTGCAGCGGGTAACAGCGATCGCTGGGCAGTGGAGGAACTCCGCCTTCACTTCGGTGAACGCGTTGCGTTCCTCTTTGCATTCATGCACATTTACACCAAACACTTGTTGCCGCTTACGGTGTCATGCCTTTTCTACTACCTGTGTTTCCGCTTTACGTCAGAACCGCTGTGGAAGGAGTATATGGAAGGGCTGGCAATCATTGGTGTATTTGTGGTCTGTTTCTGGGGGCCGTCCTTTCTCGTGTGCTGGGCGCGCGAGACGCGTTTGCTCGTGGAGAAATGGAATTTGGCCAAGTACAAGAATACTGTGTACGAACGCAATGACGATAATCCTGGTTTCAAGTACATATGGGTGAAGAATCGGCTCACGCATGAAATGGAGAAGATTCCCAAGCAGCGCAAGAATCACTGGATCCAGCTCACCATGTTGGTCTTCGTTCTTATATGTGCACTCATCCAGTGCGTGTGTCTTGTTCCGTTTATCCAGTGGTACGTGTACGCCAAGAATGCCCCTACATGCGATGCGTGCAATGGCGACAGTGATGAGTCCTACCCTTGCATCTGGTTTATGACGTGCTTTAACTCGACCACTTCAGCATTGGGTACAGATCGGTGGGTGTACATTTTGATCCAAGGCATCATCCTCGGCTTGCTCATTGACATCATTTTCTTTGAGCTCTTCAACTGGATGTCGGAAAAGTTTGTGCAGTGGGAAAACTATGCGAAAAAGTCTGACCACGAAAACCGTCTCATTCACCGTCGCTTTGTGTTCGTGTGGAGCAATTGGTTTTTCTGGTTTCTTTTCATCTCGTTTGTCTACATGCCATTTGGCGATACGATTTTGGAGCTCTTTCATAAGTTCGGCCTTGGCGCGCTGGCACCATACGATTGGAACCCAAATCTCTTGACGGTCGACACATTATTTGTCACCCCGCTTGTGGTCACGCAATTGCTTAACATGATTCTGGAGACGATCGCCCCCTATTTACTCCGCAAACTCCGAGGTCGCCCTTCTATTGGCTGTCGCCAGGCTTCACCGTTTACGTGGTGTGTGCGCCACCTATCGCGGTGTTTCCGCTTCCGGGCACGCCCGCCACAGTCCATGCAACCTGCCAATGGTAACATTCCGGAGACAAGCAGTGTCGTCAGCGGCCTTGTTAAGCCTGAAGTTGTTGAGAACCGCGTCCCTGTCACACATCTGACAGCCACCCGTCTAGCGCACTCAGTTGAAAAGAATACGGGCTTTCTTGTGAATGTGCTGCCGATGTCAGATGACTCGAACAAATATTCGGCATACGAGATTTTGGCAGAGGTAAAGCTACCGATATTCGACCCGGTGCTGGATTACTTGGATGCTTGTATCCAGTTTTCGTATGTAATGATGTTCACGGTCGTTTGGCCGTTGCTACCGTTTCCAGCTTTTCTCAACAATATATTGGAAGTACGCGGCGATGCGTTCCGCCTGCTGTTTGCAAACCGGCGGCCGATGCCGCGGCGAGACACATCAATTGGCGAGTGGGCCACGGTGCTTGCGTATGCTAACATCATCGGCGTGACGGTAGTGTCAGCTTTCGTCGTGGTGTACCATTACGGATACTTTCGAACCGATTGCAACTTTACGTTTACTAACGCGTACGTTGTGCCATTTGGAATTATCGAGCGTGACGAGACTGCCGATCCTAGCTCGTGTGTGAATGCCAGTGAATCACCGCGATGGCGCATGTTTCAGATTGTGCTGTTTGTCGTGCTCGAACATGTGAGTTTCTGCGTACGGTACTTGGTGATGCAAGCCGAGAAGACGCCTGCCTCCATTCGAAGCTCGGGTTACCAGCGACTGAAGCAGATTCAGCATTTGACGGCGACCCCTGCTGCTCCCCCCTCTCAGCTTGAGTACGTGCAGCGTCTGCGTGTGCTGTTTGAAAAGCACGACGTCGATGGTGACGGCCACCTGGGGGAATTTGAGCTCATTCAGCTCCTGGCGGCCTGGTTATGCAAACACCCGTCTGAGTTACTGCCGTTCTCGGGACTCATCTTTCGTTACATGGATAAGAACAAACTGGGTAAAGTGCCGTTCTCAACATGCTGTCTCATGATGCAGCACGTGAATCATGACCGGTTCTTTTCGTGTTTGCTGGGCCTATACGACCCGCTTCACGGAGCCTACAACGACGAAATACGTCGTACGTGCGATCCCATTGAGCTGCATCGTGTACTGAGCGAGGCATCATCCGAGGCACAGCTGCGCCGCAGCACCATGAGTCGCGCTTCTGAGGCCACGGACACCTCACGATTGCGTGACTCGACCTTTTTTTACGTAGACAATTGAATGAGCATGGGGAGACCGAGCAGCGTAGCTGATAGAACAAGCAGCTGATAAAATCGTGTGCGCTTGGAGTCTTGGCTGGAAGCAATCGCAGCTCCACTGTTGACGCAGCATGCTTCGCCAAGACCAAGTACCTGGTGTTGTCACAGGATGAGGCTTCGACTGCGAGGCGAGCGTGCATTTTCGAATTGTTGTCTTGATGTTTGCGTCAGCAGATTGTATAACAGTTGATGGACGAATCTCGCCCGAATGCCTCATGCAAGTTGTGAGAGATTGGGAAAAGGATGGATAACGTCAATGTGGGATAGATGATCTGACGGTCCTTGGTAGTTTGACTACTACTGCCTTGAAGCAGCAGTACGCAAGAAAGGCAAACGAACCTTTTGCTAGCAAGGTACCTTCTTTGATCGGATACAGTGAGTATCCGAACAAGAATGGTGCCCCGCACACATATAAGTATGACTGGTGCCGCATCGATTTCGCGTACCTGCAGCACCTCGCGAACCGCACGCTTCGCAACACTGGACAATGCAGGACTTATCTCTAGCTGTCAATTGTATTTGCGACCGTTTTACATCAAGAGGCCATTTGCAGGTGCCGGTTGACAGTTTCGACAACTATGGAGCGTATATCACGGCAAAAGCTCAGGTAGCCGCAATACATACATCTTGGCGCTGTCGGGCTCTTGTTGCGCACGCTGTTTGCTCGCACCACGTGATAGGTACAGACTGACTGGCCTCGTCACCCCTCTCTTAGATCGTCGCTATTCAGGTCGACCAAAATGCTGGGCAATCCCAGTGCAGCATCGGACTTGGCGCCTAGCCACCCACATACTACTGATCGCGTACTTTGTTTTCCCCGCATGGAGCTGCTCGCCTTTGCCTGTCGTCAGTCGATCTGTGTGTGTACCAACGCCGCTTTCACGACCGGACCATTCATTGCTTGGCCCCCAACGACCTTTCCACATCGTACGTTTTCTACAACGTCGTCGGGTTTCCATCCGAGGACGAGTGACACGCGATGCGTCACGCAACGCCGCTCAGCCGCTCATCACCACCCAAACCCAAACGTCGTATCGTAAGATCCAGCGGATCCATCGCAATAGATCGCATCGTCTCGCTCGTGTGCGCCCAAGTGGTCACTTGATCACTCAGTCACTCGCGGAATCCCTCAGTCACGCAGCCGGCCGTCACGACTGTCATGGCACCCCCTTCCAGGCAGCAGCCACGAGCGCCTCACGCGGCGGAGCGCGCGCGGCTCCTCCCGACAAAAGCGTCCCCCAGCGTCCGCGCCCCGCCCCGCTCCATCATTCTCAGCGTCTGCTCGTTCATCCTCGTGACGGAATTCTGCGAACGCCTCGCGTACTACGGCCTCGCCGGGTCGCTGCCCATCTTTTTCCACCGCAACTTGGGCCTCAGTACGGTGCTCGCGACGGAGCTCAATTCCACGTTCACGTCGCTGTCGTACCTCACGCCGCTGCTTGGCGCCTACGTCGCGGACCGGCACCTCGGCCGCTTTCTGACCATTGGCGTCTTCTCGGCGCTCTACGTCGCGGGCCTCGCGCTCTGTGTCGTGGCGTCCTTGCCAGCCGTCTCGTCGCAGCCGCTCTTTCTCCTCGGCCTCTTTGGGGGCGTGGCCCTCGGTGCCGGAGGCATCAAACCCAATGTCGTCGTGCTCGGCGCCGACCAATTCGACGTGACGATCCCCGCGCAGCGCACCGAGAAGGACAGTTTCTTCAACTGGTTCTACTGGGCCATCAACATTGGCGCGACCTTTAGCTACGGCGTGCTCACGAACTTGGCCGTCAATGGTCTCCCGCCCTACATCGCGCCCGACTTTGGCTTCTTTGCGTCGTTTGCCATCCCGGCCGCGGCCTTTGTCCTCGCCGTTGCGGTGTTTTGCGCCGGGCGACACCGGTACCGTCGCGTGCCGCCGAAAGGCAGTGCCTTGGCCAAGTTTTTCCACATTTTGATGCAGGCGGGGGCGCGTTCCAAGCGTGGGGCACTTGTGCTGAGTGGCGGCCTGGCGTTCGTCCCGGGGATCGTGCTGACGACCGTGTCGTACTTTATCCAAAGTGACGCGGGGCACGTTGCGATGGCGCTCGCAGGGGCAGGAGCAGTCGCCTACGGCACGTTTGTCCTCATTTTCTCGGGGGCAGCGACCACGTGGCTCGAGCTCGCCACGCGCTCTAGAGGCGGGTCGTTCTCGGCGCAAGACGTGCAAGACGCAGCCCAAGTGATGCGCCTCGCGCCGTTTCTTGGGATCATCATCATCTTCTGGGCTGTCTACGGCCAAATGAGCTCGAACTTTGTGGTCCAGGGCTGCCAAATGGACCTACGCGTCAAGGGCAACGACCGCGTGCTCATTTCATCCGCCATGCTCAACGTAGTCGATTCCGGCGTCATTCTCGTGTTCATCCCCGTCTTTGATCGCTTGCTCTATCCGCTGCTGACGAAAGTGGGCATCTATCCGTCGCTGTTGCGCAAGATCGGAGCCGGCCTCGTGTTTGCTCTGTTGGCCATGTTGACAGCAGGCTGGATGGAGCGTCTTCGCAAGAACAGCTCCATGGTTGAAGGCGTGTACTCCAACTGCAGCGCAGCGGGCGAAGCGCTCCCCATGTCGACGATCAGCGTGTGGTGGCAAACGCCGCAATATGTGCTTGTGGGCGTGGCCGAGATCCTGACGAGCATTTCGTCGTACGATCTGTTTTACTCTGAAGTGCCCGAGTCCATGAGGAGCGTGTGCCAAGCGCTTAACCTGCTGACAACGACGCTGGGGTACATCGTGGCGGGGGCGCTCAACAGCATCTTCTCCTTTTGGATCACAAGCGACCTCAACGACGGCCACCTCGAGTACATTTACTTCATGATGGCGTTTCTCGTGCTAGTGATGCTGGTGGCCTTCATGTTCGTATCGCAGTCTTTTGAGTACCATGTACCTCCGCCAGGCCTCGACACCGTGACGGGTTTCTCTCCTGCGCTCTCTCGTGCTGCCCGAGACTTGCGAAAGAAGTTGCAGTACCAGCGTAACGGCAGTAAGTAAGTTCTGGCAAAGTGCGTACCTTGCCTGGCTTCTGAGGTGAACTGTTGTTGCGTAGGCAGGCAGTAAGAAACCCATTAGTCGTGGTGCGAAAAAGTATCAATAAAGATGCATAATTTCTGCGAAGCTGACCAGCGGTACTTGAGCTTAGCTTTTTTGCAAGTACGAGATGAGGCCTCGCATCATGACTTTGGCCTCGCCCAGCGCTTCGCCGGCGATATCGCGCGCTGTGCTTGTCACAGCTTTGGCATTGTCCAGCGTTGACATGGCCAATGTTTGAGCGTGTTGCACTGTCCCCTTGACACGCTTGAGCTTGGACGAAACGCCGAGCAGTCGACGCACGTTTGTTAAAAACGACACGGACCCACTGGCGTCTGGAAGCATCTGTAGCGACAGTGTACCGTCCTCGTGACCAGAAGCAAGCAGGATCACCGCCTCTTCAGGACCGAAACACGTTGCAGTGATCATCGAACCTGCGGGCGACGAGGAAACATATTCCTGCACCATGGCAAAGCTGAAAGAACAAAAGTGTTGTAAGTCGTACATCCGAAAAAGACTAAACGCAAGCTGTCCACAACTGACAAATGACGAGCGACTTACTCGTCGATGCGGTAGATGCGAACGATGCCCGGATACAAAGTGAAGAAAATCACGTCCCCTTCAGCGGACACTTGCACATCCACTACCTCCTCCGACGGAAAATGGTGCGACTTTATCATCACGCCTGATAGATTGAAAATCTGGCAGGTAGTGGAGACCATGACGCGCTGTTGTGAGTCACTGCTGTTCGTCTCACTCGTGTCAGTCGCGCGTTGAACAATGCTGGTAACAGCTATCACGTATCCTTTGACTGATAAGCAGACGCGAACGATTTCACCCCCTTCTTCAGCGGGCTCGAAATTAAACGCCACCTGTCCCTCGTCGTACAGAAAGTGTACTATGCCAACAGCATGTGAGCATGACACCACGACCCCAATGTATGTACTAACGCAACAATCCACGACCGGCGTCGCGTGTCCACGAAAGATCTGGATAGGACGCGGAGATACGCGCGGCAAACGGAAAAGAATGTCAGGCTTAAGACGTGAGAGGCGCCATAGTGCAAGAGTCCCATCCTTCGATCCGGACACGAGCAACTCCTCATCTCTCTGCGAGGTAGAGACGGCAGTCTGGCTATGGTCATGATAGCTCCAGCGATCCAGGCTCAGACACGTGACAGCGGCGCTGTGCCCTACGACACTGGCCTTGCCGATCACGTGGCCATTGTCCAGATCAAGCAAACGAAAGTGAAGAGCTCCGCTACGTGCTCCTCCAGACACAAGCACACGCCCGTTGCGGGATATACTCACAGGGAATCTGCGTGGTCGTCTGCGCAGATTATCACTTTCGTTGTCAAGGGGAACGTGATCAAACACAGGTATCCTTGGAACATACTCAAATGGAGAGTCATCACGAACAAACTCCAGAAGCCACGGGCAATCGGTGGCTAGATCCGCTTCACTTTCTTCACCGCCGTCTGGCACACCATTGAAATCACTGGACAACGTGGCCCTCTCGCTATCCCGCTGTGAGTCGGTTGCAAATAGGAAGCTGTCTCGATCAGTGTTTACAGCCTTACCAGGCTCAACAGCAAGCGTTATCGGAGGCACCCCTTGTAGATTTGACGACGCAAACGCAGATTCTCCGTGAGGCGAAGTTGGCCACGGTGGCGTTGGCTTTGGCAACAGTCTCCAGTAGTAGATTTCGATGACGCCGAGCTCGTTCACACCGACAATACGACCTGGAAGAATTTTTAGCAGCTTCATACCGCTTTGAACGATTGGCTTTACTGTAGCGACGGGGCTCCAATTTCGACGCTTCTCTTGTGCAATCGGTGAGAAATCTTGAAAAGCTTGTGAAAGCGGGCGGAAAAGATTGCTGGATGGTCCATTAGAGACACCTTCTTTTCCTGGCAACCCTCCACTACGCGGTGGACTTGTCGTTTCCGAGTTGGATAAGCTGTTCATTCCAGAAGCAACTGCTTTTCCGACAGTATTACGGGCGAAAGCAGTGTCTCGCGCGAGGTGGGGGGTAGCAAAAAGCTGCATGGGACACTGACCAAAGTGTGCGATTTGCAATTCCATTGATTCTCTCAAACATGGATCCTCCACTTTGTCCAAATCCACGACACCGTAGTACGTCAGGTAGTAGAACACGTTGTTTGCTTGGAGTGACGCTCGCCCTCTTTGCTTGTAGCCAAAAATGAGATCAATCCAAGAGTGCAAATGCGAAGAGACGTACTCGCTCTCGAGCGCGGCGCGGTGAATGCGTACGAACTCTTCGGGTGTACTCGCCCACTTCGGCAATTGTACGTTTTCCACAGCTTTTTGGTCATGGCGCTTTCCCAGTGCGTAGCCGTTTCGATTGCACAGAAACGTACCATCACCGGAGAAAAACTCTGGAGTCAGCTCTTTGACCTCAGACATCTGAGAGTTGCACATTCGCCACGTTTCCTGGATGGAGAAAAATAAGCGGTCTGGCAAGTCAAAGGTGCCATTCTGCATTTTTCGATGCAGGCTTGCGAACGGTTCTAATCGGAAGAGGAAAAAAAGCACAACTCCAGCGCAAGTCGAATAGTGAGAGCCGTATAAGAATCTGGGAATCACTGGGTCGTCGAAAGAGTAATATCGCTCCCAATATTCCTCCAGTCGATTTGCATTTAACGCACCAACAGGTTTGGATAGGTCACGAAAATTCGCCGGGTCGCTCAGATCCAATGTAGAGTCTCCGTAGTTTGAAAGCACCCATGGAAACACCGGGTACTGCGTCAGATCATTGAAGCTGCGTCCCGCAAAAGTATTCAGTGCCATGAGGTAGTCGAAGTTACTGATCTGCCGGTTTTGCCAAGCCTTAGTAGTAGTAGCCAAGTGTGGAATAATGCGCCCGGGCCACTGCTTAGGAGTACTTCGGGGAAGGAAGGAATATAAGACACGAACGACCTCGTTGCGCCGCTGCTTGGTCGTCAGCGGCCAGTCCAGAAAGTGAGTACTGCCATTGCGCAGAAAAATCTCAATCGCCGAGTCACGTAGTCGATAGCGACGGAGGTAAACACCAACAAGATGGGTGTACTTCCATCGCCAACATCGGTGTAGCCCCGGCGCCGCTTCGTCCACGTTCGTGCTCGATAGTGCAGGAAGAGTGCTATCGTCGAAATCTATTGTACCGGCATTAGTACCACCTCCAGGGTTCCAGGCGTTTTCAGGTATCTCCTGTCGTGGCTCAAAGGCGATGTACTTGCCGCAGAAAGACAGACGGCCGAGAATAACTCCTTCTGGAACCACTCGTATACACGTTACGCAGGCGTACACTTGATCGCCCGGTACAACAGCAACTCCAGCACCGGGGTCTAGTCCCTTGTCGCCCTGCCCTAAAACTGTTCCCTCAGAAGCTGCAGGACTAGACATACAAGAACTTGCCTTGCTCTCATCGCCCTCCGGACTGACTGCCATGGCACAATCTTTGTACTCGTCGAAATGCTCTTCATCTACTAAGGAACGGGCTTCTGCCTCATCAACAACTTTTTCACCGATGCCTGTGCTAGAAACGTAAGTGTCTGCTAAGCCGGAAAGTGAGAGAGAATCGTCAGATGTGATGTCCCGAATTTCGCCACCACGCTGCTGCGCAACTACTCGACCTACTCGCGTTAGTAAATTTTCGCTGGATACTGCGTCACGGTTACGTACTTCACGTTTTTCTGCACCATGAACCATCTCGAAAGGCACGACCAGACCTGACAGATATCCTACCTCTGAACTTCTCTTTGCTTCAACTCCGCCATCTACGCTTTCCTTAGCGATCAATGCCAGCATCTTCTTCGAGCTCAACTGCAAATTCACATCGACAGTACGCCGCACCCGGGAAGGAAATGGTGTCTCGTAACGTCCAACCTGCCACATAAGCGTCTTCTGCATTGCAGCCAATGTGTCGGGCGCCACACGTCGCAGTGCATTGTGTTGGTTCTGCGATCGAAAGGTAAGCTCGTGCTTCAGCCACAGTTTTTGGGTCCACCCCTGCTCCTGCTTACGCTGGACAGATAGCGCGGTCACTGCACGCTGATTTTCTCGATTTGTTACATCCCGCAAAATCGCCAACATCCTATTCTCTTCGACTTCAAGTGCTGCCCAGAGCACCCGCTCGGTGTCATCAGCCTTATCTACGTCAGCGTATATTTCGTACGGTTGTGATGCCACTTCCGTAGAATTATCGGAAACATTGGCAGCGTTCTGCGACGAGCTTTGCAGTTCCTTCGCTACCGGAAAGTAAGGCACCATGTCATCCTGCTCCTCTCGTTCATGCAGTTCCGTGTCATTGATCGCTAGCGCCAGTGTATCTAGTACCACTTCAACAGCTTGTGCTTCAGTGAGCTTGCCAAGCTCGTAAAGCGATAGCCCAGCGGCGTCCAACTCCTCATTAAAAGATCCGGACGTACATATCCGTAGAGTCAATCTTCGCAACAACTCCAATAGCTCCTCCCTTTCGTGGACGACCAATGCGCGGCGAAGATCGACAAGGGCGCGGAGGAACACGTCACGCGTCGGCAGCATTGCATACACACTCAGCGCAGAACCAGTAGCCATCTCCTGCTGAAAGCTTTGTATCAGCACCTCTACTACGCGCTCCATCATGCATTTACCATGGATGTACGGTAAAGCATGCTGCAATATTTGTAAGCCTGGCAAAAGCCCTATACGATGATTATTATGAGTGCTGTCAATCAACCGGGCGCAGATATCTAACACCGCGTTCAGCAGGAAAAGTTGCGCATCAGACCACGTGTACTTATTCGACGGAGCATCCGACGATGAAGTCGCGTATTCTGCAAGCGGCTTCAATGGCGCGATCAATAGTGTCTCATCAGCAAGAAACAACAAACGCTGCACATTCTCGGCAAGCGTCCGAGACAAAATTGTCCGGCTTCTTGCCATGCGTTGTAGGACAATGCCAGCCACACGACAAACCCAATTCAGTGGTGAGCAGAAGAGTTCCGAACGATTAACATGTGGAGCCACGTGAGCCAATGGGGGTAAAGAAGACAGCGTGTGTGAACTTGTGGCCTCACACTTTGTTTCGTATTTCGTCTGAATCCCTTTCAGTGCCAGCAACAGATGCGTGAACGATTGCCATCCGAGGTGGTTGCTCATTGCCATGGATAGCAACGACACAATTGTGTCAAGCACTAGATCCTCGCCGGTCTTACTGGCATCAAAACTATACGCGCGACCGCAGTTCTCATCCTGTCGATCATTGCCGTCATCTGTGTCTCCGTACGACGACTGACTTAGCTCTGCAGAAACAGAGCAGGTCAATGACAGCTCCAACAGCGCATCTGCCCAGCTTTTCTTCATTGATAGTAACTGCTGTTGCAGGTCATTGTCTGTCTTCAGCTTCACGTTGACGTCCATGAGAACCTTTTCACGGAAATACGAAGTACTCTTGCCCAGCAAAAATGGTAAAAATGGCAAAATGCTTTTCAGCGGCAGGCTTAATATACCACGAATCCCCTCGTCAAACACATTGGCAACAAGCGCCGAGCTCCTTTTACCGTCGCCCAGATCTTGATCCTTCACACCTACGTTGTATAGACTTCGCAAAGCTATCAGACGAATGACAGCAGCCCGCTTTTCCCATGTTAGCTGTAAGCGCTTACCGACAGAATGGTTAGCCATCTTAATCCAGTCAATCAAACCATCCAGTCCCGTGCTTACTTCTCCTGTAGCAGTGAGAGTTGACGATACGGCTGCTGCAATGCCATCTTCGACCCCATTTTTCTGCGCTAACGTAACATTGCTCGCTACCGCTGGCGCGATTGGAAACAACAACGAGTCCTTTTTGGAGGGATCATTCATGATAATACTGTGTTGGACACCCAGAAGCCATGCTGGATCAAAGTAAAACTCCATCATAAGCTCTAAAAAACCAACCGAGAAGCTGCCTTGGCCATTGAGCACCAATCGCAAATGCTCTTCAAGTCCACACCAAACAGTGCGACCTTCAATTGACTCGAGCCAATCTAGCAAGTAAATGAACAGCGGAACGCAAGCCAACCGGACATGGACAAAAGCATGCGAGCTCTCTTCATCGTTCCGTTTGCTTATACCGCTGCTACCGAAGTCAGCCCGCCGATCACGCATCAGATAAAGCAAGCAGTCCATGATGCTGGAGCTGACTAGTGCGAAGCGCATGTCCAGAAACGACACCGCCAGTCGTCGCAGCAACAGCAGTATAGACGTGCAAACAGTTGCATCGTGACTCGTCATTAGAAATTTGGTTACTGCACGGATATCTCGAACAAGTGAGAATCGAACTTGGACAGAGCGCAAAACGCTCTTTTCGGTAAAAGACTCTCTTCCATCCGAAACACGAGCATCAGGAGTTCTAGGCGAACCAGGACATGCCGCCGTCTGGTCACTCCATACAATGCTTTCGAGATTGATACTAAACACACCTCCTCTACGGGCGGGTACAGCTATTGAAGGCGAAGCCGAAGATAAAGAGGGAGTTGACGTGGAAAGTGACGGGCCAGCCCCGCCAGCAATAGAACTTCCTCCGACTCCTGTGGACGCGCTTGCCCGAGCAAAAGTCGTCTCCATAACTTCCTGCTCCAACACTTCGTAAACATGTGTGCTCTGGTTTGTCAAACACACCTCGATAAGCTCAACCAGACTTAGAATACTTTGCTGCTTCCAACGGTGTTCTTTGTCGTCAGGCTCGGTCAATTGCTGCGTGTTCTGGCTTGTTTCACCTTCGCTGGACGTATGCGAAGAGTGTGTAACTGAATAATGATTGCCGAGAATCTCCAGTACCTTAGCAACAGCTTGCATATTGTTGAACGCTCGCGGGTACTCACACGCAAGCACATACATCTGGCGATTGTAAATGGACTGAGCCTTAAAGTCCGCTTGCGTCCACAGTCGGTAGTCCATTAGAATAGCTCGCACCCCGGAGGCAAACAGTGGATTTGTTGTCCAGATGGACGCGTGAAAGGGATGGTTGTCGTCAGTTTCGAGACTCTGCCTCGGCCGCGGCATCATCATGTATAAACTTTTTACAAATTCAACACAGAGGACAAGACTTCCAGGCGTCCAGACTACCGAGAGGCATTCGTTGTGACGTACCAGTACGTGAGAGAGCATGTGAAACACATAGTTCCTCAGCACTTCTTCTTGATTGGCCACATTGCTGAGCAACATGCCCTTGCATATCCACAACAAATCGATCACCACACTTTCCATGACAGCTGGAAGAAAACGCCCACCCTCTCCTGCTGCTGTATACTCAGTCGACTCTGCACGCTTTCTTGGGCTTTCTTTTCTAGCGACTCTCTCGTATGCAGTCAAAATGTAATCCAGCAGTACTGGCAACGACGACACGCCTACTGACTGATGCCATGCCGACTGATAATCTGGAAAAGTCACTTTGTGTGTGCTCTTACCCAGTCGGGCATTTCGTTGTTGGATCTCGGCAGACGCGTCTATACTGTTCTCAAAAGTCAGCCACTTTCCGTTTGAGGTCGGCGTTGTTCCTTCACACACCCATTCCACTCCAAGATCAGCATAGTCCTCATTGACAGTATTTTGTGCGTTAAAGGCAAACACGACCTGCAATTTACAGAATGCTGTAAACGATTCATTTTCCGGCACAGCCAACGGTGATAACCCCAATGCACACTCGCGGCTACCGGCGATCAACCGACTTGACTGACTGGGCAGTGCTGCAGACCATCGGTTAAATGAAGACATTGTGGGCCCCAGCGCGTACATCAACTCGATTGTCCCTCTTGAGAGCTCATCGTGGTACATCGAGACACTGGCGATCTTTGCCTTCGCATTACGACCCCCTCCTACAGTGCATTTTGACGCAGTAACCAATCCGGACGGATACACGAGCTCTTCCCGAAATTGAAATTTGTTGTCCACGTAACACGTCACGCTGCTCTTTTTTACATAATGCAGCGAATGCGATATCACCAGCAGATGCCATTCACCAGGCACCAAGTCGATCTTCTGCTGAATCGTTCGCCACTCTGAGCAGTGCGCAAACGAAGCTGCAACCGATGCCGACTTTTTCGCCTCACTCGATGTGTTTGGGGCACAGCACCTGACATTCAGCAACACTCCACGTCCACCATGACTAGCACCTTCTGCCGCGCGCTCGAGCGATGCCTCCACTCCCAATGTATTTGACCCGTTGGCGAACCGAAACACGTTGAACTTGCCGTGCACACTGTCTTGCACGACGCCTTCCACTACAGAGCTTCCTCTCTTGACCTGCGGCAGCTGGAAGTCCACATTGATCCACACAGCAACGGCATATCCCCGAAACGCCCCCCAGTCCACGATCGGAAGGTGCATCTGACTGTTGCCGCGGAAAGAGAAATAGGCCGAAGGAGGTACCACAGCTTTACAGGGCAACACATATTGCGACTGCGAATCTCTGTGCTCAGGTCCTTCTTCTTCTTTTTGTATACTGCTTTCTTCGTCTGGAGGCAGCAGCCATTTCGTGGCAAATAGTCGGGTGAGCTTCTGCACGTCCCGAATCAATTGCTCCCTCTCGCGCAGCGAGCACGCCGATTCGTCTACAAAACAGGCCAACATGGCCTTGTGCACCAATTCGCGAGCAGCTTTGGACGGCGATAACTTGCTCGATTGCGGTGCCTTGAGGACGTCACGTGGACGCGTTGCATTGTTGCGTTTCTCTCCTACTTGGGTGTGGTCCGACCTGTTTCTGTTGGCTCGGGAGCTTCCTTTTGCTTGCGATGCCATGCGAACGTCCGGTGTAGCCATGTGCGCTCTTTTCGAGATTCAAAAGTGTCGTGTACATTTGTGAAAATGGTGCGAAAAAATGGGGTCTATAACTGTCAAAGGGTTTTTCCGCCTCACGACACAAAAGTCGCCTGATCGCATCTACTGAATTACCGTGAAGGATAGAGGTAAAAGGCCGTTTTGAGCGTAAGATCAGTTTAGTCAGCCTATTTTCTTCATTGGGAGAGAGATTTTAATTATGTGTAGGTGTTGGCTAAAATATAAATTGAGAAGGCTCTTCAGATGTAATGTCACACTATGATACGGGGTGAGAATATTCTCATACCCGTTTATTCCGGTATCGTGGTACTCTTTGTACCGGTATTCTCACTTATAATCTAGAAAGGAGATACACTCACTCCTCTCCATAAGAGACAACTTTGTGCTCAAATTTTACAGTGTGTCTTATTAAAAGTTTATTATAACGAATCTAAAAGAAAGAAGTTGCATAATATTTTTTGAAGCGTGACCCGCCGAATTTAATGAAATGTAACGTTTTTCTACTACACGAAGTCTCTCATGTCGAGCTGTTTCACCCTAACGTGCCAAATCTTGCGAATAACCGACGACATCTTATTCAGATCTGAATGTATAATTCGCGTGTCTTCATCTGAGCGTATGAAGTACGAACGCAAAAGCAGGCAGCACTTAAGTGCTTCTTTTGCACTAACAGGCGCTTGATCTTCGTCGCTTTCGACTTCCGCGGGGTCCACTTTTGCTTCAATCAGAGCTTCTTCCTCTTCGTGAATCTGCTCGTGGTCCTCGATATCGACGTAATCATCCACGCTAACGGTCACACCAAGCTTTTGAAACATATCAGCCAGATCGCAGCGGTCTTGTTCGAAGGCGAGGCTGGACTGTCGATAGCTGTTTAGTTCACGCAAATCCGTAACCTGTGGCGCTTCGATGATCCCACTCTTGATCCAGCAACTTCGAATGGTCTTCCCGCCAATACTGCTCTCTCTCTCAGCTGCAAACTCAATGGCTTCTAGGACAGTAAGTCTGCGTTCCATTTTTGCTTCGATCAGATCCATGCGCCATCGCATATGAAGTTTCTTGTAGCGAGCTTTAAGCAATCGGATGATACCTATATAACATATATCTAGGTGATGATATTATTGTAGATTTTAGACGCACATATATAAATGATGAGATTAATGTGTACCTGCATCGAGCGGCTGAATAGTGGAAGTCATGCTAGGCGGAAAATACCACATTGACGTTGTTGAGTTCTCGTTGGACCTTGTGACTGGAAGCATTATCGAGAAGTAGCAGGAATTTGCGACCATGCGTTCGAAAATTAAATTGATGCAGCCACTTATAAAATATAACAACAGTCATCCAGGCGTTTGAGTTCGCAGCGTATACGAAGCCACGCTTCTCGATCTCCACACCCTTGAATTGCCTTGGCTTTTTGAACTTCTCTATGATCATATGCTCCAGATTTACAGAGCCACTTGCGTTGCAGCACAGAGCAAGTGTTACGCGTGACTTTACGCTTCTCTTGCTGTTGTTTCGACCCGTGGATAGGGTTTCGTTCGGTGGCAAGTCGTAAAATAAAGATGTCTCATCAAAATTAAACACATAACTCGGAGAACATTGTTCAATCAGAGATTTGATCTCAGACTTTGCTGCTTGCGATACATAAGCTCCCGCTTTCGCCTGTCAACGCGCGGCTTTTAATGTTGTTCCGCTTCTTAAAACTCTGGATTCAGCCTTTAAAAAGCTTGAGATCGTGATCTTCGATATCATGGCTCACTCGCAGTCGGTCCGCTTTCTCCAGGACCAGGTCTCCAGATAACTAGTCACTCTCTCGCTCGAGAGCGATTTATAGCAGCTCCTTGCCGAACTCAGGATGCTTTACACGTTGTTTCTTTTTTACATTAGGGCTAAGGCCCTCAAAGTCGATTTCTTTCATGGCCATGAGCCGATTCGTCGTTGATTTACTAATGCTGTACTGCAACTTAATGCTCACATAGGTCTGCACTTCGTAAAAGCGGATGTTTGGGCGTTCTTTGCAGTGTTGAAATACCTCGTACTTCTGCTCTGGAGAGAGGGATACTCGCTCTGTTGAACTCATTGGTTGCATGGGCTTGATGTTCTTGGGTGGACGTGTTGTATTCGTGGTGTAGTCGAGTACGTACGAAAATTAAATATTATTTCTCCCTATCTATTGCCTCACGAAGTTATTAAATTTCGTCTTCTGTATCTGTCGTCCTGACGTCATCAGTAATATGGGCCTCGTAATCTCGCCTATTATGACATGCTCTATGTCTTTCCCTAGGTCACGTCTGTGTTTCTATGGCGTTGCTGAATAGGTTTGAGGCAAACCTTCTGCTAGAACAACTGTCACATCATATGCCACGTACCTCTTTCAGCATCAGAAGTAGGGGTAGTGAGTCATATAAAGAGGGTTTTCACCTCAAATGGGCGAGTGTTTTTGGTGTCTTATATCTTACTCGCTTATAAAGAGAACGGTATGCAAATTCCTATATAGCTTGAAATGTTCGGCGGCACTGTGACCCTTATATAGAGGGTATCTCTTATAGAGAGTCTGTTATTATAGTGAGGGGCGAGTGTAACACACTCGTACTTGGTACACTGCACTAAACACAATTATACACTTTGTGTAGTATGTAAAAGCAAACTACCACGTGCAGATTGTGTCGTACATATCCATCGTGTGGATCAAACGATGTCAAGAGGCATATAATGATGAAGTGAAAAGACTTAGGGTGAAGCAGATACTAGTATCATGGAGATGACTCGATATTAAATTATAATTATTGGTGCTATGACATGTTCGTCAATTTCTTCAAAATAGTAGCAAGTTCAATAACACCGCTACTTACTGCTTCTGACATGCTGTAGAAGCGATCAAAAGCTAAATATTTCCCAAAGGCCTGTCATCTTAACAGATTTACCACTTATGGCAATGGGGACAGGACTTTAAATTGACACTCAAATTTCCGCTTATGTGTCAACTGTGTTTTAAGCGTTGCATTCTACTGTAGATTATCTTTGCATGATGATGTTGTAAGTGTGCAGTTATCCCAGGAAACTTGTGATGATGGGTTAAAGTGCGACGGCTGCACGCGGACAACGTGAAATTACCCAAAGAGGGTATGCAATCCAAGATTTGCTTCACGTCTTGATATTTTAATATTTCCAATGATGGCACGTCATTCAAATGGTCAAATTTACCAGTGCACACAACTTGCTGCTACCATGGTATGAGTGACTTGTGATGCTGAAAAAGTATCTGATTTCATGCATTGGTTCAGTAAAAATAAAGCGAAAGAACCGCGTAATTGTAATGCATACATCAAGTATGAAATAAGCTCTTTCCATTACGAAGCGTTGTATCGCAGTAATTAGCGTACGATAATCGAAAAGATTGTCAAGGTGTCGCGAATGGGAGTCTACAGTATCATGCTGAAACCATACATCAAAACATCATCGTTTACAATCTGCTTCAATCAAAAGTATACGGTAGTTTCTATCGCGGCGATAACGTGCAATTGCCAATTAAGAGGAAGAGCATACCGTATGATGTGGAGATATCGAACAACGTCCTTGGTGTACGCATACAGAAGAAGAACCAATGTAAAGAACATAGAATAAATTCTGATGATGATGACTTGCAACGAGGTAAAAATGACGCACGATGTAGAGCGAGACACATTGATGTATTCCCACCATCGACTAGGGCATCAAATTTACCGATTGTACTCAGCTAAGTACCCTTCTTCATATATTGTCGCTAATGATCTGACCCGTTAAAATTGTCTAGTTTGCGCGAAATGTAAGCAAGACAAAAGTGGAGCTCGCGAAAGAACACTGGCAGCGAATTCTTCATTGACCTGATTGTAGTAGCCATTCTTTTGCCCGATAGCGACCAGCGACTCTGAAATGCCGACAAGGCCACAGCTATGTGCTAGACTTTGTTGACCACCGTACCGATTACTGCAGGATCTTCTATTATGCGACCAAGTATTCCACTGGATAAATGATGAACCACTTATTTTGTTTCTTTGCGAGGCAGTTCAATTTACGAATTTACGCGGTTTAAATTGACAGGTGCGTGCTGTATCGCAATTTGTATTTGCTGTGCAAAGATTCAGGTTTAGCGCGACAGATAAGTCAAGGTCGAAACCAAACCCGCTATAATTTAGTAGAGAGGATGCAATGCCTAGGAACAAAACGACGCAGATAGAACTTCTGACCTGCAGATGGCTGATGAGGTTTTAGGGCACATCGCCAAATTAAGCTGCCTACATCTTGCATAGAAGCATATACATAGGGGTATCAAGCGTCTGTACTGACACCATACGATCTACCTACACTGACGACAGTGTCAGTAGATGCCTCAAAGTTTCAGGTACTCGTACGTGCAAAGAGAGGATATTCTGCTAAACGAAGGTGCTTAAGGAAGATAAAGTAGAACTAAATTTGAATACAGTTAACGTCTTCTTACTACAATCTCACTGATTTCATTTGAATTACATGAAACTATAAAACTATAAAGATGTAATATAGATAAATACTCACAACCCATTAACCGCATCTGGCAGCATTTTGTGAAAAATTGGTTGCTGTTATGGCCTAGATTTACCAAGAAATGGATCAGTAACAACTATAGCCTTCAGCAGTCATTAGTTTCTTCTACATTTTCTTGGCAACGTAATTTCGCAAACAACTATCACTCAAGATAATATTCCCATCAATCCACCGTTGATTTCAACGACATGAAAGCATCTTATCCCGTCACAAGAATCCACGCCGGGTATATA